GTGACAGGATATGCATCAGTAGCATACAGCTCTACATACGACGTGGATTATGCGGCTATTCGTATAGCTCTCTCTTGTCCACTACCTTTGACAAGACCAGCCACGCAAGCTGTGCAGAGCACAGATAAGCTTGGCTGCATCGAACGGCGAAGCCGAACATAACTTATCCTGAACGGTGACATCGGCTCACTGAAGCCGATCCATCCGGGATATTACGGCGTCTTGCAGACAGCCACGCAGTGCGTCGTTAAGACGTAACCACCGCCGTTTCGCTAACCCGCAGGTCAACGAAATCCTGTCGAGAACGAGGTTAGGCTTAACCAGTCGTAATCGTTACACCTTGCGAAAAACGCGACGAGCATAGCGGCGGTGAAGGCCATATTGCTGGGTTTAAATAGATCGAGGCGACGAATTATGCGGGTTAAGATATCGCGGGTTACCGCCAGTTTGCGGTTAGGGGTAATATCCCCTTTTGCCCTTTTGATTCCGCGCAAGGTTCGTTCGAGATTAAACATAACCAGGAGCGGGTTCGGTAACCCACCTTCGAGGTGCAAGATACGGACGCCATTCAGGTAAGTTTTAATTGTCCGATAAGAGCAAGTATCAGCGAGTTTAGTGACATATAAGCAAACAGTAGTTTCGTCAGGCTGCATTGGCCGAAGGTTATACGCAGAACAAAAGTTGATGTAATACCTGACGTGAGCGCCATAAGTGCGCTGCGAGGAGGCGGCCAGCCAATTCATCATGTACTCGTGCATTTTGGCCACCAGGTCCGGAAGTGGGGGATTTGTAGGAAAAGAATCAATCAAACGGACTTCAGAATTAAATGTCGGCCTGTTTTCCAATAATTAAGCAATTCGGAAAAGCGAGAATAATCGCCGCGGGATAGTGCATCTGCCAGAGAATTGTCGGCGGATGTAATATAAGTGCTGGTCAGCCGGAAACTGTGGGTCGCCGAGAGCCAAAAAATTTCTCGAACATATTCCATCATGCGGGGGCCAGTCGCCCCCTTAGGGGCTATTCGCATGCCACCGCTATCGCTACATTATCGCTACATTCTGGCGGAAAACCGAGAAAATAACCATCGCATGCACCCTTTTCCGCTTAAACCAAAACTTTCGCACGCACGGAATCCCGCTACATTGTAGCGATTCCGCTACATTGTATAACCGGCCATATACATTCTACAGATTGTAGCGGGTTCCGCTAAAAGCCGCCGTGGCACATCGAACGGCCACGATTCAATAAAGTTTGTACCCCTCCCTCGCCTGCCAGCCTCCCAGGCTCTCCGAGTCTGTTTCCAGCGGGGCTGGTCCACCCGGTGTCCGGGACCGGCCGGCCGGCCGTGCACGTGGAGCTCCGGAATCCCGGAGGTTTGCGGTAATGTCCAATTCGCGGAAAGGAATGATGCGGCCGCTATTCCGTTACCCGGGCTCGGATGAAGAGCCACGTGGTTCCGCTAAAGCCCCGTTAAAATTTTAGCGGAACGGTGGCATGCGAATAGCCCCTTAGCCGTCCCTTTATTGATCACAGCTACGACGATTGTGTTATCAATGTGCAAACGAACGTAGAGGCCTTCTAAGGCCGCCGAGAATAATCGGCATAGAATAAGCACGGCAAAAAGTTCGTGCCAGTACGTGAATGGGTTCGGAAGGTTGGGGAGTGTCCGGAAAAATTGTGTGGGCCGCGGCGCGGAGAAGGAGAGGGAGAAATAACCCCCCATGAGAAACGCTCCATAGCCATAGCTTGAGGAGGCGTCGGTTGAGATGTCGTCGAAAGATACCGGCCGAGTTGGTATGATATTTGTACGGCCGTTGAAATGATGCAAGAATTGATCCCACCATTGTAGGTCCAACCGGATGCCCGCGGATATACGAATGCGATGATGTGGTCGATGAACACTCCATTGAGCGTCAATACGACGACGCAAAAATGTGCGACCGCCGTAAACAACTTTGCATACCCAATTGAGTTTTCCGTTGAGTTGATCGAGCTCGCGACGAGTAAGAGAGTTACGATGCAAGATATCGGACACCATTGTGGAGATGGCCGCCAATTTAGCGGGACTCAAGTGCGCTTCCATGGAGACGGAGTCGAGGGTGATGCCAAGAAAATCAATTACTCGGCATGGAGGAATGCATTTATGTGGTCGCATATTTACTTTAAATCCAAGTTTATTTAAGAGGATGCGAAGAGCCCAAAAGGTGTACCAAGCCATAGCTTGAGTTGGGCAAATTATTATAAAGTCATCTACATAAAGTACGAGGCATTTAAAACCCCGCCGAGCCATCATCCTGACGATGGCCCGACCTATTCGATTAAAAACCTCGCAAGCATTTTTGAGTCCAAACTGCAGGTAACCGTCTAGGTATAAATCCTCTAAAGAATCGGTCGGCCAGCAAAAGGCCGTAAGGTCCCAGTCGAACGGGTCGATCGGGACGTGCCGGTATGCTGCTTCGATGTCGACCTTCGCCATAAAATAGTTGGGGCTCATAAGCCGGATGGCGTCGTCAACAGACTGAAAAGAGAAATTCGATTGGGTTAGATCTATAGGAGTTGAGCGAGCGACCCATGGGTCGCGAATGGTCATGAATGACCCGTACAGTGGTGGCCGTTTTTGGTACGGCCCCTAGAGAATGCACGAAGGACGAAGTTTGACCGTCGTACGGACGGAAAATTCGATTTGCACTAATGTCAGGCTGCAGAGCGTCATCGACAAGCGCGCGAGCTGCGTAAGCAGATTTGTAATTATTACACTTAAACGGTTCAATTAAACGGTGCGTACCAGTGGTTAAACTCAAACCGTGCGCGACCAAATAAAGCAGAAAATCTTTATCTTCGTCATGACGAAGTTCCGCCTCCCACGCACATAAGCGCAGAGGGCGAGAAGATAACAAAGATTCGATCCATGCTACCTGGGCGGGCGGGAAGGCCCGCCAGCGACCGGGACAGCGGTTATCCTGCGTGGTTGGAAGTCCCGGCTGTGCCCCCGGTTGCTCCGGCGGTGCGGGTGTTGTTATTGGGGCAGGTGCTCGGGGCGTGCTCCCGAGTGTCGCCACAGGGGCACGGCTTGTGTCCCTATTCGAATCTGCAGTCTGCGCCGTCGGCGCAGCGCCCGGTGTTCCACCATGTAAAACACCGTGGCTGGCCTTTGCCTCGCGTTGCGCCCCGCGCCCCGGTTCCTGCTTCTGGAAAGGACTGGGCGGTTTTGACATTTTTGGCGGCGGCCATGGCCGCGAAATTGGCCATACGAAGAGGGCAAATGGCGTCAAATGCTGTCGTCGACCACTGCTGGAGGCGATGAGCCTGATCAAAATCTAAAAGGACATCTAAAGCCCACCCGTGGCCCCCACATTTGGGGTCGAGCATAAGTGTAAGACACGACTCCTGGTACCGGTTGTAATCAGGGCCCTGAATGGCGCCGAGCTGGAGCAATGCTGTTTGAATACGCTGAGATGCCTTGATATATGCGGGAATATCGGGGCATTTTATCTTTTTCGCTGACACTCCCAAAATATCGGGTTGGACTGTAACTGAGCCCGTGTCAGTGTCAAACAGCAGCTTTTGAGGGGCCCCCCTGAGGGCATTTACAGCATTAACACTCAGAAAATCCGAAATAAGCAAGGGCTTGGCAGGTTGTACCGGTACAAAAGTCGAGGGGTACGTACTCTGTCGAGGTCCCTGTGGTACCGCCGGTACCGCCTGCAGGCGCGATTGGTCGAAGCCGGTCCGTACCAGGGGGACCGGTGCCGGTGGGGGGGGTCCGTGCGGGCGGGGGGGCAAACGCCGCCTGCTGGAACCCCACCTGTGGGCCTCCCCAAATGAGGCGGGGCATGGCAACCGGGGGAACTGGGGCAAGGAGGGGCCGGGGGGGGGACGTACGGAGCAAATTGGGGGGGGTAAGCTGCGTGCTGTGGCTGGGGCCGAATTGGGCCGGGATTTGGGGGGGTAATGGAAGCAAGCTGAGATTGCAACAGGTTTACATAATCTTGCCCCCCTTAATCGCTTCATGAAGCTGCCTAACTTGAGCGGATTGATCACTTGGAAAATTGACGGGGGGTCCAGGGTGAATGCCTGCAGTGGTTGGAACGAAGGTTTGGCCAGGGTTAATATGGGGTTGAGAATTTGCGTGGCCATAGCCCGCAGTGTGAAAACCCTCAATATCTGCAACCGGGTGGGGCCCGAATAGGGGCCCCAGACGTTCATGGACTGGCCGACGACCCAACAGGGAGTCCTGAAAAGGGTAATTTTCACCTGGCGCCCCATTGGGCGAAACCATACGAGCAGAGACCTGTGAAACCATCACTGAGGGGGGAACAATGGACTGCTCAATGGGGCCATTGCCCCTCTCAAAATCTAGACCATTACCATTGCGAGCTAAGGCATGATTAACTGGTGTAACAAATGCCCCGCCATTGCGGGGACTCGGGGTGGCGTCCCTCTCACGCCTTCCTGACAAAAGATTCCCTCGCATTATATCATTCACAATGACATTGCCTGCATCATCAGCTGTGGTAGTACCATCATGGTTACCACCTAAGTCAGCCATATCCTTACCTCGGGGAAAATTGAGGCGCCGCTTAACAGAGACCCGACCGGGAGACGCCGGTGGGGATGGTGTGCGGCAACGTTTGGGTGCTACCACCCCTTCGTCTTCAGCGTCACTAACCTCAAGGTCAGAGAATGTGTCGTTGTCGTCAAGCGGGTACCAGCTTGGACCGGAGTCCCAGGGGGAGCAGAGATTCTGCTCAGGGTCCTGCCACAACCTCAATGGAGTAGGCCGGGACTGGCTGGGCACGTTGGGGGAGGCGGCCGAGGAGAGGCGCCCATACAAGCGAACTTCTGCTAGAATTTTCTAAACGCGAGTTGGGAATGAGGGACTTCCTACTCCCGGAGCTCTATTTATACCCATTTCTAGAGACTACGTAAAGTCTAGAAATGTTTATTCGAAGAGTCTTATCGAACAATTCACCACTATTATCGCACCCTAGCCTATTCGATAATAGTCTATTCAAGTTGGTTCTGGGCCATCATGATCTAGGGCTTCAAAGCGCAGAGCGGTTAATATTGCCCATGATGATGAATCATGAAGCTGAAGCAGAGATCGCGGCGAAACTAAAATGGGGTTTGCACTAACCCTGATTGAAAATGCACCATCCGCGCAACTCTTAGGCTTGGCACAATTGGCGAAACGCGCACAGACTAGTACGGTAGCTGGCAGTGGCTGTTGGCCACTTTCGCGATAATGGTTTGGAAGGAAACGGTAATGGTCAGCAAGAAAGCTTTTCCGCGGCGGCCGCGTGCGGGTCTCTCACATATCTACAGTAGCTCACGGTTTTTCAAAGGCAGCTCGAATCATGTTATGGGCATGTTAACTATTAGTGTTGTCGTCAGAATGCTGAACTGCGTCTTGGATTTCGAAGCAGACGCCAACCAATGTAAACATCCTCTTGCTGCAGGCTTTTCGAATTGGCCGCGAACGAGTGATCTGGTGGCTCGGTCCCGTCTGGTCTACGTTGCTCGGTCTTGGACCAGTTCCGTGAATGTTTACTTTGCACCTGACGGCCCATACCCTTTCTACGACCGGACCCTGCTTTCTGGTAAAAGGACGCGTCGGGTAAGCGGAGCTGACATTCGACCGGAATAAGTCACTTAGCTCAAGCGAATTATATGTCCTCGTGGCATTGGTGATTGGCAGCGGGAGTTGCGGCAGGTCTTGTTCACCTTGAGCACTAGAAAACCGCCAGTAAGTTGTGATCACGTCATCAGCTGTCATAAGTCCATGTCCTTCTGAAAGGAGTTTGGTACGAAGTCAATTCCCAGGTTAAAAGCGGATGCGAGTCAAACTGTCTTTGGTGATTGCGATTTACAGGCCAGACTGAGAAGCTAGCTTGACTTGTTATGCACTTGCGTCTGCAAACCTTGTTAATTTACGATTGGATGACTTGGCCACTTGAGCCGTCATATGAATCTGATTTGTAGAGCAGCCATGCATGCTTGAGTCGAAGTTCGAGGGAAGGACCACTTTGAAGGCCACTGGTCGTAAGACCTCCGACATTGATGAAGCTTTTTCGATGTTTGATGCAGGAACAACGAGCTGAGTCTTCTGTTTTGCTGATCTGGAGATAATTAAGCCGAGATTCAAGCATTATTGAGTCAGGTTCCGTCAAGTTATGATATGTACAGATTAGTCCGTCATCTCTCTTGCTTGACTCCGGACTCTTTCTTTCTTCAGGACAGACCCTTGGTGAGGTACATGCGCATTCGAGGGTCTTCATGACCGTCGCTGCTGAAATGTGCTATTCAACTGGCATACTTAGGCAGGGCTGATAGATTCGACGAAGTTTACCTCGAGCCTTTGATTAGATTACAGACCTTATGGGCCGGCCTTATGACGCTGTAAGAGTTGATATGGTTTGATTGTAGATTTATTTGTATCCTGCCGTTTATTGTGTTGCCTTGAAGTCGATAGTTCATTTCTAAAGTTACAAAAGCAGGTTGCACAGGTTTTGGCGTCGAGGTGTCCTAGAAATAGCTCGGAGATTGTCATGCAAAGGTTTGCATCGCAACTTATTATGTTTGTTAATATGCGGATTGCAATCGTGAGAAGGTCGGCACTCGTGAGGCTGCACGTTCTTAAGCATCCCTTTTATGAGCATGTTCTAAGCACGAAGCTTCAAGTGCATCATTGACTTGGAGGTACTGGAACTTAATATGTAGCTTGTAACGTTGGCATCGTTTACTACGTTGTCACGCTGATTTGAGCTTGGCAAACTTTTATTCTGCATGTCGTTGTTTGCATGCGCGGCCCCGATCTCGCTTTTAGGGTTTAGCACGGCCGGCCGGGGCCCTATCGCCACACAACATAACCGCCAAGGCTCACTCATAGCCTATGCCGACTGCTCGGTCCAATTCGCCAAGCTGACCGTCGATCGACTTCGTTTTTGCCCGGTTTTCCCTCCCGACCCTTAGAACGCGGCCCGTGGGAGGCCCTGGTAGCACTTCTAGGGAGCAAGCTGAAGCTTGGGGAGGTGTTTTGCCAGCTGAAAGGCTGGTTCACAGAGTGCAGACCGTTCCTTGTATACACTAAACCTCTGCCTCATATGAGTCGAGTGACAATCGACTTACAAGCAATCTGCAGCGGCCTACTTTCTGATTCTCCTCATACTTCACGGCTTTTGAACGGGCAGTAGCCACGGTATTATGTGTAAGTTGGAATACCCCTCGCCTCTTTCTTCCGCATCTCAAACGATCAAAATTGCAGGAATGTCATAGCTTCATCTCCGCAAAAGACACGTTCGGACTCCCCCCGTTCTGCTGCTTCACGCCGTGCGCTTCCCGCCCCGCCTTGATCGCCTCTTGGAAACCTTCGACGAGCTCCTTGTTCTCGGGATCTAGTTGCACGCCCTCGTAGAACGCGGTCGCCGCATCTTCAAACTTCAGCATAGCACGGTACGCAGCTCCTTCGCGGTAGCAAGCCTGCGAAGTTGAAAAAGAAAGTTGAACAAGATGGGAGTGCGAAAGGGAGCCTACAGGAAACGAGCAGAACCAAGATCTGGACGGAAGTCTTTTGGATCGTCTGTCGAGGGACTGCGGCTAGCGTCACCTACGATCTAGTGCCGGAGCTTGATCATCAGTCATGTGCGGCATGATTTGAGTGCGCTCACGGAAGCTTAAGTGGAAGTAAGAGAAAAACAAGAGCTCAGGAGACAACTGGTCTTGGAACAGGGCACCGCTTTTCCTAGAGTACAAAACCGCTTCTCCCCCAGCGTCGTCAAACATGATTGACTTTCGGTTCTGCAGGTTGACCGGTCTTGGCCAAAAAGACCTCCTCAAGTAGAGAGTCCGGCGCGAAAGAGAGCATCGCAGATTTTTGCCAAAATACAACTTGGTCGACGAGCAAATGCACGGATTCGCTACAGGCGAACCGAGCGCTCCTCGGAAAGGTGTCAAGGCGTGAGCTAAGAATCCCGTCGGCCATGATCAAGCTCAATACCGTGAACTTCGGCGCTAAGACTCAGACTTGATGAACAGCAGAAATCAGGGCATTGAGTATCTCTGTGCAATTAACCAACAAAAGTTCTTGGTAGAAAAAGAAGGAAACGGAAGGAATGGAAAGAAGGTAACACTAATGAACGCAATCAGTGGACGGAGAAGGAAACAGAACATCCCAGAGTCGACGAGATTGGAGAGGAGACAATCGGAGACTCATGCTGGAACAGGGTTGCAAGCAGCGGGGGAAGTCCACAAGTGATAAGGGAGCGCTGACGCGCCAAAGACAAAGAGGCGCCCACCTTGGGCCAGTACGGTGCCAGCTTCCGCGCCGCCTTCGCGTCTGTAAGCGCATGTTCCGGTTGCCCCGCCCGCAGCCAGCAGATGCTCCGGTTGGAAAAGACAGTCGCATTCTCCAGGTCGAGATCGAGGGACTGGGTGTACGCATCCACCGCCACCATGAACTGTTTCCGCTGCAAGGAAGGAGCGGAACGGAAAGCTTAGGGGTCGAAGGTTCGAACAAGGCGACTCTGGAAGGTGTTTGCCGGAGGGGTAACGGAACGCACGATCCAGGGGCTGGGGATTGGAAGAGGGAACTCTGAGGTTTTTCGCTGCAGATCAGGGGTGGAGGGTTCGCAAAGGCAGCTCCAAACTGTCTCCGCAGCGACAGAACCGAGACGCTACGTCAAGATTTGAGGGTCTGTACATGCTACTTTGAACCGACGATGCCGGAGGAATATAAGCAGGAACTGAACAAACTTTGCCAAGACTGGAAAGAAGACTTCAAAGTTTTGCCACCTGTAAGGACCAGCGCAAACAAACTAAGCCTCTAACTGGAGAGGCTGATCATGAGGCCCATCACGGTGCAACGGAGCGACGGACCATCGCGGTGCAAGGGATTGACGAAAAACTCTCAATGTGCTTTGGGTTGCAGGTGATGACGGGACACACCGACGGGGAACGAGAGCATGGGAGATGTGTTACGACGGAGTGCTTTCAATGGCAGGCCGTCGACTCAAAGAAGGCTTCGGGCTCGACAGTTAGCACTTTTGAGAAGAGGTTCTTTTCGCTGCGCATCTGGCGACATACACGGATCAAGCTTGAGATTTTCCAACTTTGAAACAAGCAGACTCTGCTGCTGCTCAAAGGGAACGGGTGCTCAGTGTTCTGAGCTCTCACAAAGTTTTGCCTTCCGAACGTATCCAAAACGAAAAAGAAAGTGAAGAAAATCAGAATATTTAAAACCCTAAATCCCACACCCAACACAAAGAGAGGCGCAAGAAAAACTCAAAACGCAACAGATAAACACGAACCTTGAACGCCTCGTCGCCTCGCATCTTCGCCTCCTGCGCGCGCTTCACCTTCGGGTTCGACAAGTCCGGCGGCAGCGGCGGCCCGACCTTCACGTCCCCGTTCGCATCCTTCGGACCCTCTTCCGATTTTGACGGCGCAGCCTCTTCGCCCCGACCCGACGAACTCGGGACGCCGGCCTTCTTCATCAGCGCTTCGACGCTCCATTCCCCGTCCTTTGCGGCCTCCGACTTGGGAAGTAGGGCCTCGACCACTTTCCTGCAAGTCAAATTTTCACTTCCATTTAGTCTATTTTAGTTTCGTATAGCGCAAAAATTCAGACTGGGTGGGGAACACCTCACTGTTGTATCGTTATCCAGTGATGTCCAACTTTTGGCATCAGAAGATGCCTATTCAGATTGGTTCGTGTTCAAGAGTTTTGCTCCATTTAGCCTAAATCATGTGCCCAACCGTGTCCGGAGGCGATTGGGCTGCTCATGGCAGATTCGGCAGGCTGAGGCTTTTATGAGACAATCAATGAGCAACACGCTTCTCGCCATCAGGAATATTTGCGGTCCGCTTACCTGTGGTTTCCTGCGGCCGCGGCGTCGATCGGGCGCGCTCCCTCAGCGTCACGGCGGTTGGCGTCGGCGCCCGCGGCCAGTAGTAACTGCACCATCTCGAGGTCGCCCTGATCGGACGCCACGTGGAGGGGGGTGGCGCCGCCCGCGTCCTTGTTCACTTCCGCCTTCGCCTGTTGCAGAACAAGGTGAATTCAGGTACTCTAAGCGGCAAGCTTTTTACCTCTTTCATTGATCCACTAAGGGACCGCCCAAGTCGTTGGACACATCCGCCTTGTTCTGTATCAGAAACAAGGAGATGGTAGCTAAGTTATTCTGCAAACACGTAGCCTCAAGAGAAATGAGTCCCGCTTCACGTCCGGCTTCGCTTTTCGGTTCAAAAAGTGACGATAGCTGCATTTGGCGTCTCCTTGGCTTCGTTGGTATATACAGCGACTGCCGACACGTCAGGTTCGCCTGTTTCTTATGACATTGCTCCGCTGCTTTGCCACTCCTTCACCTCTAGTTGCTCAGGTAAACTGACAAATGGAAGCATCCGAGTAAGCTTGAAGTGGGCGTCGGATTCTATAAGCACACTAGTGAGACTGAGTCCTGAGGAAGGCTGGAAGGAGGCTCGAAAAGGCCAACTCCGAGCCGTCCGATAGATTCAATTCGGAGGTTTGCACCGTCAATGCCAGGTGCACTCGCGAGTGCAGACGCCCACTTTAAGATTGGGTGTCAAAAGTACATTTTGGACCACCCCTCTGTGCAGATCCACGGGATTGTCTTCCAAAAAGTCCCGATCAACGATCGGCAAGTCTCGGGCTCGAGATCGATGCATCAAGCACTGCAGCTCTCAGACCTGTGGTTGCTTAAGCCGATAGAACCGCTGAACCATACTTCGACCAGGCTCTCGGCAATGGCCAGGCTCCCAATTCATCAAACGAGGTGTTCCTCAAAGCTTATGTTACCTGCGACTCAACAAATCCGCTGGACCTACCTCAATCAAGCTCTTCGCGATTGCCAGGCTCCCAGACCCCGCCACTGCCAGGAGCGGTGTCACCCCGTCCTGGTCCGCCTGGTTCGGGTCAGCGCCGTGCTTCAGGAGCTCCTCAGCTGAAGCGACGTTTCCCCAACCTGTGAAGAATGTCCACTTTGCAGATTGGTTTTGAGATTTCGCGAGGTTGTTTGCTGTCAGAAAGTATTTGGATCTCATTTATCCGTTTGTTTCTTCCCTGCAACTGCAACCAGGTCACGTCCGAAGTGAGGCTGCATGAACCCAAGCTGACTTTGGACGCATATTGTCTTGATTGGCTTCGTTACATGAGATAAGTCTAAGATCGTATGGCCGTGAACTGATTGATCTGAGTGCGCGCAGCATCTAGTGATGATTTCAAGGATGACGCTTTATCAAGTTGCAAGTCCAGGCCATAGCTCTCTTGTGATGCTCACCTTTTTCCAAATCAAAGAAACTACCACAAAATGGTCCTTCAAAGCATTGACCGACTGAGTGATGACTGCAGCCAGGAGAACGGTCTTTTGGTATTTCTTGAATCAAATTGGATGATGACGTTACAAAAGGCTGAAGGCTGATGTGAGTCTGCTGACCTGCGGCCCAGATCAGGGGCGTTCCTGAGCTGCTGGGTGCATTCACATCAGCGTTCTTGGACGCGAGCATGCCCACGACCTCGCTAGCCCCAGCCCGCGCAGCGTGGTGCATTGGCACGGCCCCTGCAGCAGATCCGTTGACATCATCCGACATCATCATCCTTGGGGCAACTCAAAAGAATCGAAAATTCATTGAAGCAGGCGCCAGATTGCAGTATAGAACAGCCCGCTGAGTCGATTGCAGAAGCACGAACGAAAACAAACCTCCTTGTTACAGATAGACAAAGGCCGCCAACCAGACTAGTGGTTCACAATCAAAAACTGAGAAGCTTTAGCCCGTTCAGGGACAGACAAAAAGTCAACTGCAACCACTCACCTGTCTGCTGATGAGGGATAGAGTGGTCTGCGCCCTTCTCCAGCAGCAGCTTGCTTGCTTCCGGACGGCTCTGCATTACTGCCAGCGCGAGTGGAGTGTGTCCCTCATCGTCTTGGGCGTTGACGGGTGCTTCCAAATCCTCGAGCAGATACCTGGAAAAGAGGGGATGTCCGGCTCAACATCCTAGCGTCCTTTTGACGACGCGTGCCCTTGAAGTTTCTTGCACTGACTGGAAATGCAAAGGATCGACTGGTACATCATTCCTTGAATGCTGGTACAGAAGCTAGCTCCCCTCCCCAAGCTTCTGTTCGCTTGAAGCAATCTTCAACCACTGGACCTACTTTCCTTCCCCGCTTCCAAAGCTGAATCACAATGTCTTTTCTGCTTCCTTTCAGCTGCACAGCTCAACATGGCTGTGAAACCGCAGAGCAGTAGCTTTCGGCCAGCCCCCCGAGACTGACTCTACTCAGAAACGTCATTATGCTTACCTGCACAGGTCAACATGGCCCTGAGACGCCGCAAAATGAAGCGCCGTGCGCCCGTTCCCATCCTTGGTGTCGCTGACTACCTTCTGCGGCCCATGGCCCTCATCGCACAGCTCCACCTTCTCCTTGAACTTGGCGACGTCGCCTTCCTTTGCAGCAGTCAGGAGAGCGTCCACCCTTGCCCTCGCTGCGAGCGCCGTACCGCCGTCCTTCTCCTGATTCAAATTTTGAAGAGACTGCAAGTTTGAGCAGGCTGGGAGTTGTTCTCACTTTGGAGACTTTTGGAACCGATCTCCTGGTCCTTTGCATGGATTTGAGCGGCGAACTGGAAAAGGGGGGAAGAGTAGTGGGGGATACAGGAACGGCGCATGAGCAAGAGTGGAAAGCAGTCTACTGAATCCCATCTGTGACACACACTTCTTTCGATATCATGCTGATCGAAATTGGTATGATCTCAGAGTGACGAGTGGCGAAGCATACCACCTTGGAAGAACTGTATCAGAACATTTAGACGTTGATGGTGCATTCATAGAATATGATAAGCTGGGTTTTCCTGATACATCTTCCTTACAGTTCCGCACTTTCTCCCGCTTTACAATCTCCATTAGCGCTGCACCTGATGGCGTGTATTACATGTACCTCAGATATAGCAATCCCTCTTTTGATAATCCCCTGATATGCAGCATTTGTTGTTCAGTGCCCTCTATCTGCTTCTCTATGAAGCCTAATGCGAAACAGGGAAGCTAAACTCTTTGACTGCTTCTGCCAGGTCCCCTTTCAAGTCATATGCAAATGTCTTCTGCATTAGTTTTGTCACTTTCTCTTTTTCAAGATAAAAAGTACAGACTTAACAGAAGTCATATGCAATGGGGGTGCCTTTCAGGCGAGTTTACCTTTCTCGCCTGAAAGGTAAAGAAAACTTTGGGGCTGATTAAGGGATTGGAAAACCTGCAAACAACATGCATCATGAGATCTTGTGTGACGCCACCACCTTTGCCAGCACCTTTAACTCACCTCATTGTTTGCTGCTCGAGACGCCATCTATCACCACCACTGTCTCCACACAGAACTGATTTATGCTTCAGAGATCTTGAAGCAGCTCTTCTCATAAGATGCATATGAAGCGCTCATGAACCCTTGACGTCAAACCTCCTCCTTCAACCCCTTGAATGCGCTCAGCCTGAGTCCTCAAGAGGTAAGCTCGTCCTGTAGGCTGTAGCCCGTGCGCGCAAGTCTCTACCTAGCTCATGGGCAAACTCAGCAGGCTTCGCACCTGTGTGACATCATCCACGGTTGGATATATTTGACGTCTTTGAAACGGTGATTTCCCCGGTCGCCCGTCGTGTAGAGTTTACAATTAGGTAAGAAGGCCGAGAAGGCCGTGATGTGACGGTTCTCCAACTTGCTGCCAATTCGGGGGCGTTCACACGGCCCTACTTTCAAGAATCTGTGATTCTAGCAGCTCGACGCCATTTTGATTGGCAGCTCTGCCCCAGCTCAGTGAACAGGTCTACACTATACGTTCGTCGGCAGCAAAATGGCGCTACATGCTGTCAGTCTTTTCTTCTGTCAATGCTTATCTATTAGGCTTTCTCAGTATGAGAGGTTTCTCGCCATTGTTGTGCGTCCAGGTGTTACGCAAAGAGCCGCTGAGCGTCCAGTAGGCATGGAGGGTCCACCAAATGAGGTCTGCAGCTGGCCAGCTCGTTCCTTGTCTGTACTGCCTTTATCCAAGAGTGCGTCCAGCTCATAAGTCACATAAGTGTAGCCGCCGGCATTTCTGCATCTGGCTTTTTGAGTTTTTGGTGGTCTGTATTGCCAAGACATGCCAGCAGCTTGAAAGTATGAACGGTGTGCTGCAATTGGAGCACGCTGAGCAGTGAGCCGTCCTCAATCGGCGCCCAGATGGACACCATGAAACGAGCTGGAAGCGGCCACAGCAACATAGGCTGAGGCCACTGCTGTGGAAAATTTGCTGAGCCCAGCGATCTTGCATTGGGAAGCCTCAAAAGAAGCGCAACGGCTCCCTTGAGGATAAAAGGTATCATTGGCTTGTAGTATAGGGACACTGGAAAAGCATAATGCATCGGTGTCTTGAGTGCTTTAAGGTTCAGGGGACGACCTTCAGCAGGGCACGTGTGTACGACTGTCTCCGATACTGTGCCCTCTTCAAGCGTCCCTTTGTGTGACGGTTGGACAGGGTCACAC